CAACATCCACAATTTTCTATTCCATAAAACAACAGCTCTCCCCCATTTCTAAAATAAGCCCTATATATCCCCCCCCTAAATCCAGACCCCCCCTCCTCCTCCGAGCAAACCCTTGATTCCCAGAGGATTATATTTTGAAATATTGTTATTTCACAGATGTGTAATATTTAAATACTTAAATACCCCCCCTCGTAGAGAACTCTCTTCTTGCAGGATTATTTGCAGGACTGTTTATAATATATTCACACTTCTTCTCCAGTTTTTTATATAAATACTTACTTCATACGCATGCAAGCATTTGCCTGGCTTCTTATTTAAAAATTAATGAATTATGTGAATTTTCCACGTATAATTGCAAATAAAGATTAAAATGTAGAATTAACGAAATTCTGTTAATTGCAAACATAATTACCATGAGAAGTGTTGTCGATCTGATTAAGTATGAATTAGATATCCATGTTTTTTGTTTTGCTCTTGAAACCTGATTTCAGTCTTCTGTGGTTTCTCATCAAAAGTGACTAGCGAATTAAAAATTGCGTTACCTTCTACATGATTGATCAGATTATAGTTTTAAGGGTACAGTTGGGAATCGGACATGCACCTCATTCTTTTTTAGATGGAGGGTCAGTTAAAATTACAACAACCCGCACTTTTACTAAACCTAGCTTTTAGAAAATATATTATAAAATATAGCGAATGGAGTAGAAAGACGACATTTTAGCAATCATATGTGTATTTAATGTTCTTATCATAGATAAATAAATAAACATAGATAGCTTATGTACGCAAAATCACCAAGAATTGTACAGTCCGCGAACTCATACTTCTAGGGGTCAAAATGCATTTAAATGATAAGCGGGGTGGTTTGGTGTTTTAATGGATTTCATAATAGAGTGTAAAATAACTCCGGGAATGGAACTATTTGAACAACAATATTTCAATGAGCATTATATCATATTGACGAGAACTGAAGAAGGACATGAGAAGGACTAAACTAACTTAAATTTCTCTCTACAGATCTCATGTACACCACAAGTACTCAATGACATAAGAACAGCCAATGTTCACAACCGACCTAGTTAATCTATATAATCTGTTAATCTGTACATTTATATCTTTCAAGATGAAAAATGTCTTCTTATGCGCAATCTATCTTTATCTATGGTTCTTATTAAGAAAAAAGTGTTACCAGTAGTTAGACAATCAGTTTATCAAGAAGAAAGGTTCTGTGTACAATGCACAATCTCTGTGTTTAATGTTAACTGGACTATTTAAGTTCATAACTTGAGTTAACAGTCGCCTTCATTTTCCACAACATTTAGTTAATTTCAAACAATATATATTTTCAAAAGACAACCCGAATTGGATCATTGAACCCTGAGTTTACCAAGCCCTGCCCCCCTGCCACGCCCCCACCCCTCCAACTGCCCCCCTACCCCCCATGAGTTTACCAATCATGAATGTTCGCTAAACTCTTTATATCTGGATTGAAACATTAGATGACTATCTTCTCTCTCAACACCAAGCTGTAGAGCTGTAGTGCTCTACAGCCCACCCGGAGCACTCATTAGTCACTCATTCTCTAGTTTTCGATAATCAAGCCGACATGCATTATTTATGTTCGGAGTAATATTAGAAATATTACTGAGGGGGGAGGCGGGTATTTTAAAGTGTCCCCGGGGTAAAGTATAGTTCAGATTTCTAATGGGATGAAAGTGGAGGGGAGGTTCTTAGTCGGAGATCTTTGTACAGATATATTTAATTATATGTATTTACTCCACAAAACATCCCTAAATACAAAACCTGATAAACACATGATTTTTGTAAAATAATTAAAGATTTATCTTGGATGGGGTATCAGCTTTTGTCAGATAAAATATATTTTGAATAAGTTTAACCCGCGGAGTTCAGAGCTCTGAGAGCCCCCCAACATATGCAGAAGCAGTGCCGGGAGCTGATCCAGAGGAATGGAACCATCTTCAACCCAACCCAGCTCCAGGAGATATTAGAACTACAGGTGAGTTAATAGAAATTTCTTCAACCCAACCCTGCTCCAGGAGCGATTATAATTACAGTTAAGTAGATAAATCCTTCTCCGACCAATCCTTGTTCCTTGAGAGATCAGAACTACAGGTGAGTAGATAAAACCTTCTCCAACCCAACCCTGCTCCGGGAGAGATTAGATCTACAGGTAAGTAGAAAGAACCTTCACCAACCCAACCCTGCTCCAGGAGAGATTAGAACTACAGTTAAGTAGATAGAACCTTCTCAAGCTCAACCCTGCTCCGGGAGAGATTAGAACTACAGGTGAGTAAATAGAACCTCTCTAACTCAACCTTGCTCCAGGTGAGATTAGAACTACATGTGAGTAGATAAAAACTTCTGCAACCCAACCCTTCTGCGGGAGAGATTAGAACTATAGATGAGTAAGTAGAACCTTGCTCTAGGAGAGATTAGAACTACAGGTGAGTAAATAGAACCTTCTCCAACTTCTCCAAACTTATCAAACCAATAAAATTATAACTTTCTAATCCTTATATCTTTGCAACCTGGGGGTGGTGTAAACCTTTGATTATCTTTTTGTGAAAAGGAATTTATATAGTATACAGGGTTACTCTTATAGAATGAAACTTGAATAAAACTTGAATAAAACCTGAATGAAACTTGAATGAAACTTGAATGAAACTTGAATGATACTTGAATGAAACTTGAATGAAACTTGAATGAAACCTGAATGAAACTTGAATGAAACTTGAATGAAACCTGAATGAAACTTGAATGATACTTGAATGAAACTTGAATGAAACTTGAATGAAACCTGAATGAAACTTGAATGATACTTGAATGAAACTTGAATGAAACTTGAATGAAACCTGAATGAAATCTGAATGAAACTTGAATGAAACCTGAATGAAACCTGAATAAAACTTGAATAAAACTTGAATGAAACCTGAATGAAACTTGAATAAAACTTGAATGAAACCTGAATGACAACTTGAAACTCGCTAAATATCACTTTAAGAAGGTTATTTGGGTCTTTTGTCTAGAATGTAGATTTTGATTCTTAAACAAATGATTTGGCAAATAAAAAGCCAAGTTCACATGCTGTATGAAACCAGGCTTGCTCTTAACGTGTAAATCTGCATAGATAATATTAATATATAATTTTATTATCTTTTATTTTTCAACCTGCATTTTCTGAGAAACTATCATGACATAGTATTATAGTCAATTAGAAATATTAAGGTATGAAGTTTATGTTGGATAATTTCAAAAGGAAAGAATATCAATATTCTGAAAACACTTGACTTATTACATATGATTTACACAAAAACCATGCTATGCTATGATTATGAATGAATGCTTTCAACAACGTCTTTTTGACATTTTCATCTTAAAATTTAAACTACATATAATGTAGTACAAGGTCTGCAAGGTTATTAGAAATATTAGACCTTGAAATAATAAAAGCGTTGAATTTTTCATACGATTCTTTTAAGGGATTGTTAAGATATTTAGTTAAAGTTGTTGTAAAAAGTGTAGAACAAAATATTTTAACTTAATTTGTTTAAAATAGCTTTTCATATCAATTGAACTATTTAATAATTCTAAAAGCGTTCCAAACATCACAAAATAATTGATTAAAAAATTAGTGAAAACCCCAGGTGAAAGTTGGTACCTCACTTAGTATTGAAACTTCAGAACAATCCCTTTAGGAATTATATACGCTCAAAATGATGCTAAAGAGTCGGATCAACTTGTGTAATCAAAGTTTCGTTTTTGCGCCAAAAAGTGACATAAACTAGACTAGAAATATGTCACTTGACACAATTTATAATAATCTGTAGATTGTACAGAGAAGAGGATTAACAAGGACATTTTTTAATAAATAAGTCAAATTATCGCCTAGAAACAAAAATTAAATCAAAGCAAAATTTTGCTGATTTATCGAAGGAATTGAGTCTTTTCCACAAACTCTGATTTAAACACTTATATCTTTGCAACCCAATGAAATGTCACCCATATGTTAAGTTTTTTATGATTAGACATAACAAATGTTAAATGTTAAATGTTAAATGTTAAATGTTAAATGTATACGAATGCGTCGAAAAATAATCAATGACTATAGGTTGTTATAGCTGAATGATTTGATTAAAACTAATTTGATTTTTTTTTCGATCCGAGTCGTATATTGCAACTTTCTGAATTTGTACGTTCTTCAGTATAAGTCGTTTTTAACAATTTTCTCCTTATAGACGCAACAGATAGAAGTAAGATTAGTAGCGATCAAAAGCGAATATTTTTCGCTGCAAGCCTTTACCCCCTTTAATTTTTCGCGAACACTCCCTTTAGGGGTTACCTTGCGAATCGGGAATTGTCATCTTTGCTAGAAAGTCATTTATTTAACCTTTAAAGAATATAGCTAAATAAAGACAAATTAGCCATCAGTTTGATACAGATAAAGCAGAATCATATTTGACTAGAACAAACTTACATTTTTATCTTGCAGACAATTCATAAAGAACAGATTAGCAGAATTATGAACCAATGAATAGATAAGAAGAATGTGTACGGACTATTTCTAACACTAATTATTTAAAAAAATAACAAAAATAAATGTTGGAGTGCTGTTGTTAAAAAAAAGGTTGAAGACAATAATCGTCTAGATGATCCTGAGCGTGAAACTTGGGGAAGTAATCTGGATTTTCTTCTCTCAATTATTGGATTTGCTGTAGATCTAGCAAATGTTTGGAGGTACACAACATTTTATAGAAAATTTGTAAAATAATAAATATTATTCTATTAAAATGTCCTCTTTTCAAAATAAAGTACAATACAAAAACTTGAATGAAGCAAAATCAAAGTAATAGCTCACTATGAAATTACTAAATAAAATATCGCATGGAAACACTTTTTCGGCTCATAGAGTCATACTCAGAAATCGAGTTTTGTGAAGAAAAATTTGAAATGTAAATTTTTTTCAGGTTTCCGTACCTTTGCTATAAAAATGGTGGCGGTGCTTTCCTCATCCCATACTTGCTCATGCTAACGCTGGGCGCACTGCCGCTGTTTTATATGGAACTAGTAAGTCGTCTTCGTTTCAATATCATTAGTTTCTCTTTTTAGTGCGTCTCTAATTCTACAGACCTAAAAGTTATGAAGAATTTTTTTCAAAGTTTCACATTTTTTAACGCTCTTGCGTTTTAAATTTTATTTCGTAAAAAATAGAAATTAACAAGCAATGTTGTTCTTCGGCCATTTTATTTTAGGTTTTGGGACAATTTCACAGACAAGGTCCTATTTCAGTTTGGAGAATTTGCCCCATTTTTAAAGGTAGATTTCACATATGTACAAAAAATATCTGATTTTGTAAAATTGTTGCTTATTTTTTAAATTCCCCTGTTTCTCTTATTTTTCATGCTTTTTCTACATTATTTTTGATCTTTTGCACGCATATACAGCTTAACAAAAAATAAAGGATTTAAAAATGTTTACAGATTTATTTTTCGAAATGATCTTTATTTTGATTAATTAAACAATACGTTGATTATTTCTATAAAGGATTAGGCTACTGTGCAGTTCTTGTTTCCTTTTTTGTTTCCTTCTATTATAATGTTATCATTGGCTGGGCTTTCCACTTTCTCATTTCTTCATTTAACTATAAACTACCATGGAAGGTAAATCATAATAATAATAATAATAATCCCTCTGTTGATGAACATGAATATGAGCAAAACCCCCAGCCTGACTCTAACTTAGGGGTGTAGGTTTCCTCATTTTCACAACTATTCTCATCCTCAGGGTCCAGGGCCCTCTACAACATGAAGATTAGAATATCAGGGTCCAGGGCCCTCTACAACATGAAGATTAGAATATCAGGGTCCAGGGCACACTACTACATGAAGATTAGA